TTTTACCAACTGAGCTATTTCATCACTAACTTTTTACAATCTTTTTGAATTTTTTGAATTCCTTTTTTTCCTTTACGCAGTTTACTCACGTTCACTAGAACAGTGAGAAATCGTGCTGTTGGCCACCAAAGAGTGACAGTTACAATTACACTGCGCAGCATTTTCTGAGTATGTTGATCTATTTGCTGAAGCGGTGCATTCATCTGTCCCTTTAAACTGACACGCACGCGCGGGACGGATTCCATCTAGGAGTGATCTGCTCACATCCCCTGCTTTACTATCGTCTAGTATTCTCAACAAATAACAACTACAAACTTTTATCGCTTGTTACGATAAGTTTTTTTTAAAGAGCAATTAATACGATCACATTTATTTTAGCTAGTGTTACGCAATATCAAATACTTTCTCCCAAAATGACGCTGGCAGTCATTGGTCTTTTTACCCTGTTTACCAGCATCATCGCCACCACGCCTGGTAAGTGCAAACCAATCACGGTCTCTTTCTGCCCTTTAAAGTTATTTCAATGTTTGTTTAACAGCTTTTTTTTGTTTTTGAGTTATGGACTATGCATAATGCATTTAAAGAGTTGAAAAATATTTATTATTTGAAATCAATTTGTAATGGATAATTGTGTTATCAGAATGATTTATGTTTGCGCCTGGCGTACCGCGCAGTTCGCAATAATGACATAATGAGTCACTGAACAAAGTTTTGAATCGTAGTGTCAGCAATAACAATCTGCGAATTATAAGAAATCTTATCATGATTTTTTATTTACTTAAATTTCTCCTCAAAATGTAATTTGTTCGCCGTGTTTAGCTGAGTGCGCTTGTCCTCAGTTGAGGTCAGTAAACAATTAGTGAAGGACGCAGTGAGCGGACTTCTGCTGACTGCCATGTCTATGAAGTGTCTGGTTTCTGTCTGTCCTTGTCTGTATGTCATTACACTCAGTGTACTCTATTCATGACTCACTTTTATAACACAGTCATTTAGCAGTTAATTAAAGCACAAACACTGTTATTTCAGCTTTATAGAAGTTAACATTAATACCAGGTCAATTGAGATTGAGAGTAGTATAAACAATGGTTTTAAGTTGTAAGAAGTTACATCAATGATGTAATAAGATGATGATAATGATATGTGTGTTTTAGCAGCTAGAGAGTTTGTATCTCTGGCAGAAAGAGAAGATGCTCTTCTTAGGGACTTGTTTCAGGGGTACCAGCGTTGGGTCAGGCCTGTTCAGCATGCAAACCACTCTGTGAAGGTCCGCTTTGGCTTGAAGATATCTCAGCTAGTGGATGTGGTAAGACAAACATACATATTCAGAATTTTTAAACTTAATTTGAAAGCTTTGACGGCCCTTGGTTGGTCTCTGTCCATGGTGCTGAAACACAACAGATGGAGCTGTCCGTGGTTTTGAAAACCATTGACTTTTGAAGCCAGTTTATCTCTGTATATTAGGCAATTATTAGGGGCATCTGCTTCTTTAGAGTCCATATATAGAAAATATTACCTTACTGCAGCTCCCCTCCTCCATATTTTTTTCCCATCTCCTGGATTTATTCTGCCTCACTTTTTCTTTGAAAGGGTTTTGTTGTTCAGAAGACTCGTGTGATAGGAGGCTGAATTATTAAAAGAGCAGAGATCCAGAGAGCTGTAGAATCTTTAACAGTGTGCACCCACAAAAATCCATTGGTGTACTATTTCCCTCTGTGATTAAATTATTCAAACTAAATTTATAGTAATTCAGCATATTTTGATGAAAATGTATTTGCTCAGCAAATGCTGCAGGTATTCATTTCAGCAAATGGACAGACACACACTAACATTCAACGCAGTAGTGATCTAAGCTGCTTTGAGCCTGAATGAGTATATTATGTGTTTTCTTGGTAAAACCTGCTTCAATGTAAGATTTCAATTCTGCATGAAATCCATCAGCATTAAAATGCATTTTATTAATGCTTCAAAACAACAACAACAACAACAAAAAAACAAAAACAAATTGGTAACAATAAACACCCAAAATATAAAGTGGGTGTAAAGAGGACACAAGTCTTTGTGTTCCTCTCAATAATAATAATCAAACTATGATGACGTCAACTTACTCTTGCTACATGTACACCTTGTAATGTGATTTACTTGATGAGGGCTCAGATGTGCCTGTTTGATATTATTGATTTAAAACCTATACCTAAAGGCACAGGTGCCCAAGAGCCTCGTAATTCAGAGTATTAGATGGCTTTAAAAGTGGTTATGCGGGACGTTTATCAAAAGATATAGCCAATGATTTTGAGGGCTATGGAAAATAAAAAAGGACAGCTATTATTATGCGGGCTGAGTCACCCCTCTCAGCATGGCTCTCCCTCGAATATCTCATAATCTCAAGAAAAATGGGTAATAATATAAACCCGTTTGATGAAAAGTCTTTTCCCATTGTGGTTCTTTATGCTGCTTATTCTGTTTTACAGCAGACTTTAGAATTCATTAGAATCCAACCACCAGAATTAATTGTTAATTATTAGAGTTAAGACTTCATCTAAGTTAATCACATCTCTCTCTCTCTCTCTCGTACACATATACATGCATATCTCAGTTGCTTATGGCATTATCTTTCTTTCTTCTCTGTTTATGAATTTAGGATGAGAAAAACCAACTCATGACCACTAATGTGTGGCTATGGCAGGTATGTAACCTTAAGCATCACTGTAAAAATGGTCTGGGAATTGTCTAGGAAATTAAAAAATCTCAAGTCAGCTAATTGCCAAGGCAAGGTCATTTTCATTTAGTGTAATTTAATGTACTCAAATTACTAAAACTGAAATAAAAATGAATACAATTATATAGATGTTTTTTTTGCAAACAAAAAAACAATAAAAATGCAATTTTTTTCACATCAGAAAAACATTTACTAAAACTATTAAATTAGACTTATGTACCCTCTAGAAGCGTGCGTTCTGCAAGTTCTGCATTATTGTGCCATCTCAAAGAGGCACAAAATCACTTTCACAGACTTTTACATTAACTGTTCCCTGCTGGTGGAATGTCGCCCAACTCAATTCGAGCAGCTGAGTCCTAAGCCATCTTCAGGAGACAGCTAAAAACACATCTCTTCCAATTTTATTTGACCCTCTTAACTTTAGCACTCTCTATTCTAATTCTATTTTAACTATTTGTTTTCTTTTTTATTTAAAAAAACACACACTTGATCCTCTAACACTTGCACTCTCTATTTGTTTTCTAATGGCTTTTTTTTTTTTCAAATATGAATAAAAACTATAATAGTATCTCAATGATACTAAAATAACACTGATTAGTGCAGAAGACAAAATTAGCAATTCTTTTTGAATGCTACCTGACTGACAATAAAGCAGTTAAACCCTTAAATTTTCTTTGTTATAATGAACTCAAAATTATTCTGTTTTTAAGGAATGGCTAGATTATAAACTGCGATGGAACCCTGAGAATTATGGGGGCATCACCTCTATAAGAGTCCCGTCAGAGAGCATCTGGCTCCCAGACATTGTTTTATATGAGAAGTAAGTTTGTGCCATTTGTGTGGAAATAACAATAATGACTCATTATGGAATATTAAGACATTAATATATGTTATCCTGGCCACTTTTAGTGCTGATGGACGTTTTGAAGGCTCACTTATGACCAAAGCCATCGTACGGTACAACGGTATGATCACATGGACGCCTCCTGCCAGCTACAAGTCCGCCTGCAACATGGACGTGACCTTTTTCCCATTTGATCGGCAGAACTGCTCTATGAAGTTTGGCTCTTGGACGTATGATGGAAACATGGTCAAACTTGTCCTCATCAACCAGCAGGTGGACCGAAGCTCACTTTCACAGACTTTTACATTAACTGTTCCCTGCTGGTGGAATGTCGCCCAACTCAATTCGAGCAGCTGAGTCCTAAGCCATCTTCAGGAGACAGCTAAAAACACATCTCTTCCAATTTTATTTGACCCTCTTAACTTTAGCACTCTCTATTCTAATTCTATTTTAACTATTTGTTTTCTTTTTTATTTAAAAAAACACACACTTGATCCTCTAACACTTGCACTCTCTATTTGTTTTCTAATGGCTTTTTTTTTTTTTAAAAAGCCTCTAACACTATCTTTATTTTTTTTCTATTCTATCTACTTTTTGAATGTTTA